TTATCAGGAGCTTTTAGCACAGTTGCAACCCAATGCTGAGCTGGCTCGAATTCAACTTGGTCCATATAAAGGTGAGATTTTGTATGATTTTCTAAACAAGCCTCCAAAAACATTGTGTCCTGAGAGAGTAAATGGAATATATTGAATAGAAGAAATGGTTATCTTGCAGCTGGCCAGCTGCCGCCTGCCAGAGCTCAAATAAAATGCAAATTATTGTTTCCGAAAACAATTTGATTATATGTCCATGGAAACCACTCCAAGGGCCCTTCAGAATAAGGAAAACCAACACTATAACATAGACAAGTAAACACCCTAAAAATCAGACAAAATATCTCAAAAATCCTCATTCTTAACAAATCATGTAGCAATAAATCATTATGCACACGCAAAAAATTTGTTTTTTGGAAGGTGACACACTTACACACCAAAAAAAATTCACCATCTTCAACATACCTTAACGTTGCGAACCTGCATTAAAGAAGAGTTACTATTACTTCCTGGAAATCAACATCTAAGGTTATCCAAACATGGAACGTGCAAATTACATGACATGGATATCTTCTAATAAAGAGTACCTTTGTCCATACTGAGATGGGGTTAGAAACTACAAACTTGAAAAACTGTGGGAGATACTTCCTCTCATTTTCACCATCAGTGTAAAGTGCAGTGCACACCAAGCTATACAAAACCACCACAATTAAACTAGTTAGAGTACAGTGTGCCACAAAACAAGTGAACCAAAATAAGCACTTCTTTGAATTCCCTTACATGTGTGAACCAAGTTCTTTCACATCATGCTCCACAATAAAATCGTATCGCCCCCCGACACGTACTGATTCAACAGGTGATTTCGATGTATCCAGAAGCAGTATCCTCTATCTTTCTGTTTGGATTTCAGCCTAAACAATCAAATGTGAAATTTCTCATATTTTTGAGTTGCAAACGAAAATAAATTGAATCAAGTTATTCGTTCATTCTCCCAGTAACTCCACTTTAGCTCATTCGAAAGAAATTCCAAATCTAAACGACTCGGGCAATCACTACATGCACAAATGAACATGTATTCTACCTTAATCACAACATCACGAACTTCAAAACTTGAGTTGTTGTTGATACTTATGTAACTGCAGAATGTCTCCCCAAGATATATCGCCCTAGCCCAAGAAAAAATGAAAATGATTGGCCAAATAACACAGTTCATCTAAAATTTATCACCTCACAGTGAGGAGAAACATCAATCAGCACATTTCCAAATACATTCATAAAAACAAAGAGATTTGTGTGCGCGCCCGCGCGCGTGTGTGCAGCCAAAATACCCAAATGATTGGGCGAGGACGAGAAGGCCTGGGAGGCCGAGCGAGTCGGTAGGGTGCTGGTGGAGGAATCTGTTGCGGTAGGTAAGATCGGAGGGATCCACGACGGAGGGATTCGATTGGCTGCTGAGGAGGCGGGGGAGACCGGCGACGGCGGTTGGATTGTCGAACAGGTCCTCGCCGAAAAGGAGGTCGCAGGGATCGAATTTGAGAGGGGAGGTGTCCACGTGGACCGTCGGACGGCACAATCGCATCACTCTGAAAGCTAGAGAGTGAGGTGACTGCTGCGCCGCGCCGCCGCTGCCGCCGCCGCTCATCTCTTTGGCATTTATTTTCCGATTAGTCGAGTTTTTTCTGATATTGGTTAATTTGGTGTGCTCAGGGAGTATGCATTGAGTCGAGTTTTCGATTATATTCGAACTTTGTTGGTCGAATAATTAAATAAATAAATTTATCTATTAATATATAATAAGGATTAACATAATTTACTTTTAGAAGTACTTTCCCGTCAATTTCATTAATTATTGCCTAAAAATAGTAAATTAACAAAATCTCTATTTATTAGCATATCTTTTTTATCCAATTTTTTTTAGGAATAAAATAAAAAATATGGAATCAAAATCAAAATAAATCTAAGAAATTCATTTACCATATTTAATACACTTAATTTAAGAAATACACTTACCATACATATTTTTAAAAATTTTTAAAATACATTATAAAACATTTAATTAATAATTGTCAATTAAAGATTCTTTTTAAAAATCAATCATATTTCTAATAATTGTTAGAAATAATTTATATATATATATATACATATTAGTTTTTACGTGAAAGTATATGTTAATTTATATGTTAATCATATATAATAAGGATTAAAATAAATCAAATTTAAAAGCAATTTCCCGCCACTTTCATTAATTATCACCTAAAAACAGTAAATCAGATTTTTTCGTTTTTTGATTAATAACATCAAATACTTTTATATTGGTAAACAATAAGGAATCAAAATCCGAATAAATATCCTATTTTTCCAAACAATTTAGAAATCTGAATGTAAATCCGAATAAATCATGATTTTAGAAATCGTGATTTCCAAACAATTTGGAAATCCGAATAAATCTCCAAGGAAAATCATGATTTGTATATATCATGATTTTAGAAATCTGTTCAAAATTTTCTTTGCATGAATCTGAATCATAATTCATTCAGCTTATTATTATACTATTAAATTGTTTGAAACCGCATGCTAAGATTTATAAATATCAGATTTCTAAAACCATTATTTGTATATATCATCTTTTCACCAATTAGACTTTTTTCTTCATTATCGATTTGAAAAGGAAAACGAATTTTATATACCTTATCAGTTTTGATAATACAATGTTATAATCATTATCATTATTTATTTTAGAATATAGTGTTTGTCATTTATTTGATTTCAAAAGATGAAAAAAATTTCATAGTTTAGGTCTCTTTTTATTTATGCATTTACACAGATTAATTTAAAAACTCTAATAACGACTGGCAACAAAATTTGTTATATATTGATTCAAACCAACTAATTAATAAAAGAGTTCATCAATCACGAAATCATAAAATAACACACGATTATTACATTTCCAAGATTAAGTTTTTTAGATAAATATTCATTTATATTGTCAT